AACTGGAGTGTGAAACAGGTGCGGGCGCATGCATGATCAGATTTCATTAACCAGCACTACAGCATCATGCATGTCATGTACCAGTACGGGAAAGTGGATTAGCTAACCGCGCACCACCAATATGGAATGCACGATTTAAATTTCTATGCAAATCCAGTCAGTTAAATACTTCAAGTAGGAAAAATCAAACCAAATAAATAGGAAAATCCAATTAGAAAAGAAAAGAATGAAGTTAACTAGGGAATACCAAAACAATGAGCAAACCGGTATCCGCAAACACCATCCAAGCAGCACCGTTAACCCAACTAATCCAACAATCCAGGCAGGCTGCCAGAGCTTTTCTGGAGTCTTTTGAAAAGTGACTTGAATCTTGTAAAGTTATCTCCTTTTATCTTTGCTTGCTGTCTTGAGATTGAGTTTCTTTATATATGTCTATTTATCAATCTATAATTCATCCATCTATCACTCCCCGCGAACTGATTTTATACATCAGTCGGTAGTGTCTCTGTGTTCACTTATCTGTCAAGCTGGGGTTTTTTTCTTTTTGTGCCAGGTGTACATCATTCTGTATCCAATACATTGTTCGTGCTTGATGACCAGCTTCCCTCAGAATAGGTGTTCTATCAGTATGCAACTTACTACAATCATAAAGGCCACTTTTACGGGCAAACAGAATGCAATTGACAGTGGCATGGCGAATGATTAGAACACAACACCAAAAAATGAAAACAATTGTATGTGTGAAAAAAACGCAAAAAACGAGAACAAAAAAAACAAAAAAAACACCATGCAACTTGATAACCAATGGAACCTTTGACTCTCTATCAAGTTTGCATGAAAAACAGTGTCTAAGAGGCAAAATACACATGTCCGATATGTGAAAATATTCCATATCAGCAACATGTTGCCCAATTACACCCGAAAACGTTTGTTTTTCCAGCTCAGTAAAGGTCTGACTTGATCATAAAGTAGTAAAACATACACGTCTTCGGACCAGTTTTGATATTTCATCCTCCTTGTAACAAATTTGACGTAAATTTTGCAACCCGCCCGCAAAAGCTATTTTCAACTGTTTTTCTTTTGTGCCAGGTCTACATCATCTGTATCCAATCCATTGTTCATGCTTGGTGACCCTGTGAACAGCTGTCCTATCAGTACCAACTTGATAACCAATGGAACCTCTATCAAGTTTTGCATGAAAAACAGTGTCTTGGAGGCAAAATGCACATGTCCGATAATTAAATGAAAATGGTCCATATCAGTAACATTTTGCCCAATTACCCCCCCCCCCCCAAAAAAACTTTTGTTTTTCCAGCTCAGTAAGGGTCTGACTTGATTATAAAGAAGAAAAACATAAACATCTTTGGACCAATTTTGAAATTTCATCCTCTTTGTAAAACATTTGATGTAAATTTTCGCAACCCGCAGAAGCTTTTAAGACTAAATACCGTAAAGTTGCGGATAAAAGCCGGGCTTATAAGCACATAAGCCGCTTTCTGCTTCAGGCTTTAATACAAACCAGGCTTGTATGCAAACCATGCTTATATGCACCACTGATATTTTTGCCAGGCTTGTACGAGCGTAGATCTACCACCGACTACCGGTATGGCGGCAGTTTTACTATGCACCGTATACATAGCGCATGCACTCTTGACCTCCCCGATCCGCACTTGCATAGAAGCCAGGCTTCTACTCGCGACAGGCTTATATTATGCATTTGAGCCGTTTGATTTTCAGGCTTCTATCCGCGATGTGCTTGTATGCAAACCCGGCTTTTATCCGCGATGTGCTTGTATGCAAACCCGGCTTTTATCCGCGACTTTACCGTACATGTGCATGTAGTTGAATTCAAGGCTACTAGAACTTCCCAAATGCTCCAGTTGTGTTCCAGGGATATCCCTGGACGAAGCAGAGCATCAAGAAAGACTCAATAAAGCATTCTAATGAAAATATTTCCTGAAGAGATGTGTGTTAAAAACTCCGCAAAATCGCATATTTTTCTAGGCACCGTACGGCAAGATTTAGCCCAATTACCCCCCCCCCCCAGGAATGTTTTTTTCACTCAGTACACAGGCGCGTAGGTAGGGGGGGGGGTGCTTTGGGTGCCAAAGCACCCCCCCCCCCCCTCAAAAATTTCGACCATGGGTCTGGCTTGGCATGCATTGTATGATCAAACAACCGCGACTGCCCTCGGCCCAGACTGGGTGCATGCTACGTAGATCTGCGAGTACTGCATTGTACTACACGTGCTTGCACTTTTCCATTGCAGTCAGTGACTGTGTGCAAGTATTAGTTACTCCATGAAGAAAGTGGTCTCAAATTCCTAAAACGCGCTACTTGTGGCGCATGTTGCTGCGAAGGTAGCAGGTCTGAAAACACGACAAAATCAGCGAAGCGCTTGCCAAGGAAAGAAGGTGCGGAACTGCTTACCCTACCCCGCTGGAAGGTTGTTACAGTGTACTTGAAAAATGCTAGCTTGCCTTCATCCCCTACCACCTGGAGGCATGGATCGCTTGAAAACGAAGTTTCTTGACATGAATTTGAACGCGCGTCTGCTGAAGGGTCTGCCTCAAACTCTGATGAAGACGTCGACCTTAGCTGCAAGTGCAGCAAAGCGGGAGGCCACAAACTAAAGCTTGGTTCGTCGACAATGCTCAGCCTCAATTTCTAGCTGATTTCTTTGCCCCTCGAGTGGACAAAATAAATTCGAAAAATCTCTCTGGGAAGCAACAATTTTAATGACGCGGAGGAAGTAGATTGTTGGAATGGCAAGCTGGAGACATTCATAATACATAAATAATTCAAGGTGTACACCGCACTAGCATGCATACAATATGCATACATGTACAAGATTCCTCAAAAGAACGTTTTTGGAAGAAAATTATGGGCACCCCCCTTGACCATGATCCTGGCTACGCCCCTGGTACACATGTAGGAAGGTGTAGAAAAAGTAAAACTGAACAATCTTCGGACCAAGTTTTGCCTATTGAGCTACCTTAAATTTCGGCTCAAGCAGCAAGCTTCTGCAACAATTCGCTCAAAGGGTTATATAGTGCGGTGTAGGCTTGGTGCTGCACTGTTGGTGGTAAAACGTACTTCGAAGTACACGTAGCCTTTTGTTCTATGGTATGTTGGTCCTCTTTTTTTCACCTGCATCTAGATGCTGGAGTGCCAGAGATTTTTCCGGGAGAGGACCTCTTCCTGTTCGCACACGCACTTTGCCAGGAAAAGCTCAGGAATGATGATGTGACGCTTCCCCCGCCATCACCCATTAGTTCGATGACCACCAGAGCCGTCTACAACTACGAGGTCATCCGGTCCACACCAAAATCGGCTACTGCATTACCAACGTTCCGGGCGTCCTCCACTGAACCCCATACGCCAGTATCAGTGCCCTCCACTGAGGAGAAAACAAGTCAGACACAGCCACAAGGGATACCAGGGTCTCCAACAACACTGCCCATTACTCGCCAGGATAAATCGACATCGTCACATGTGATAACTTCGGCCACAGACGCACAGCAAATTACCCATGGGAATAGCTCGATATCTCCGCGGGAGACAACCACGACCCCAACAGCTCTGCCAATTACCCAGGGTGAGAGCTCAACAACGCAACCGGAGAAAGCCTCCTATTCAGCAACACAGTCAATTACCTTCCTGACTGCAATAACAAGAACCCTGAGCACTTCATTATTACCGGCATTTCCGGTAGAGACTACATCCTCGACGTGGATGGCCACCCTCAGGCCAGAGATAGGGAGCGCTCAGAGGCGAGAAGACTTGCTGTGGCCGCAATATATCGGCGTTGGGATTGTCTTTGTCATGTGTATTGGCGGGGTCGGTTTGGTCTTGTGTATCATCACACGTCGACTGCAGACATACCGACCACCCGCAGTTACAGATCGACATCGCCACGAGGAGAAGTCTCATTTCCAAAAGCACAGCTTGAAGTCGGGACATCGCCATGGGAGAGATTCTCGACTCCGACAAGGCAGCCAAGTACCCACGGTGATAGCTCAACGTAGCCTTGGGAGAAAAACTCGTCCCCAACACCACTGCCAATTGCGTCTGGGGATGGGTCGACATCGCGAGGGGAGAAACACTCGTCCCCAACAGCACCGGCAATTGCCTGCGCTGAGAGCTCGAGATCGCTTCTGGAGAAAACTTCGCCCCCCACAAAACTGCCAAATACGTATGGGGATGGCTGGACATCGCGCCTGGAGAAAACGTAGTGCCCACCAACACCACCGATTACCTTCCTAACAGAAATAAATATCAAGAACCCTGACCACTTCATTATTGCCGGAATTTCGGGTGGACACTACCGTTGAGGGCACCTCCAGACGAGACCAACAGAATGTTCACCGCACAGAAGATTAAGCTATGGCTGCCATATACTGTATCGGTTACGTCCTCGAAGAGGACGTCATCTCAAGGACAAACGTACAGAATTGTCACCATACAGAAGACCAGCTATAGCTGCAGTATATCGGTGTGCAACTGTTGGTACTGACTGGGCTGGTGCTGTTATCTTCATTTTTAGTAGGGTGATTAGAAGACATCGCCATGGGAAAAACATTGTCCCAGCAATAGAAATAGCCAATTCCACCAGGGGATCGCTCTGCATAATCATTGTCATTGGAGAAATATTTGTCTCCAACGATACTGCCAAATACCATGGCTATAACTGGAGATATCACTATGGGGATTGCCACCTCCAGAATAGTCATACAGAACGGCCCCAGCTAGCTGCGGCGGCATTATAATTATCGATGCAGGGCCTGTTCTATCTTGTGCATGATCATAATTATTACTGTGTAGGGTAGCAGTAGTAACCCAGTCTGTTGCTTTTGATGCACTTTGGTGGATTGATCAGGAATTTGTCTTACAGTTTCTTAAAATAATTATGGTGTTGCCTTGGCTGAATTCATATTATATCAAGTAGCATTGATTTCATTCGTGATTGGCGCTTCATGCCACCCTGCTGCCCGAACCTACGCACAGCAGCGGTATGCCCCACCAATCACACCATCTGCACTGGACCAAGCCACACAATCCAACCAAGGACAAAAGCGAGATCAGTGAGAATACTGTGCATAAACTGACCCAAAATCAGAATATTGAAAATATTTAATAGTGAAGGAAATAATAATTGGTGATGCACGCTTATATATAACCATCAGAATGGGGTTTCAGATTTGTAGTATGTGACCGGGACACAATATCAAAGATGATGAGCTCAAATATTTCAGACATCCATAATCTTTTCATCTGCAGGTGGGTTAGGAGAGATTCAAGGCTTCACAGCTTACAGAATAGGTCAGAAAATATTTCTGAGTACAAAGTAGGGCAAAACTCAAGTTAAAAAAATTATATTGCCAGAAGAATAAATACTGAAAATCGTCGCTTCAGCATTCGAGAATAAGGGATTCTCACTGTCAGCATTCTAGAATACGGGATTCTCATTGTCTGTGATAATATGAACAGATTGTATCCAGACCAGTCTGAGTAGTAGATTTGACTGTTTGCCTATTGACCCGATGTGAGTGCAAGCACGTCAAACTTGCTGCAAAACAAACAAACAAAAACACACACACAGCCATCAATTGTTTGGAATTTATGTGCGACTGATTCAGGCAACACCATATCGAGGGGCAACACTGCCTGAATACCAATGCCAGCACTGTATGCCAGTACCATATGCTGGTACTGCATGCTGATAGTCAGGCTATGTTTGCATCATTCTTCATAGCTCAAAGCTATGCATGTGCTGAGTATTCATGAGCATGTCGTCATTCATCAAGAATGCAATTATAAAAGCAGCTGGATATTGTATTGAGCGATACCATTGCCAGGTATACACTAACAACGGAAGATATACACCCAAATCTGTCAGGATCCTTCAGAGCATCAGGCTAGCGTAAACTATCAATACAATTGCTGTGGAACACTTTGACGATCAAAAGCAACAGCTTACCTTCCCAGGCATAATCCTTGTTCGAGAGATATCTGAACCCTCTGAAGAATCTGAACCATCAAAATTTGAGCTCCCTGGCGATGTGATATTGGGACTGGTATCAGGCGAGACAACAATATTAGCAGAACTTCTGTAGCTCTCGCTGTCTGGCTCCCGTCTCAAATATGAGTTCACCAGCGGGCTTGCTGTGTATGGCATGGCAGTAGCCGTACTGGTTCTGGATAGAGATGACGCGGTACGGGGCCTATTTTCACGCAGTAACTGCGGCGACGGATCGTTGATCACAATGTTTGCTGCACTATGCGGACTCTCTGACGGGTGAAGAAGTCTAGCTGTGGAGGGGAATTTCCCCTCGTCACGGGTATCATGACGTCGTTGAGTCGGGCAGCTGTTCTGCATTGCCTCGTGCTGGATAGTCTGAGCCTTGGCGGGCAGTCTTGCTGATGAACGTAGCTCAAATGATTGCTGGAGCAGTTCTGCGCTTCGGGCACCTTGCGATCTGGAGAAGGCACCACCAGTTACGGAGAGAGACTTGGAGCCATCTAGTGATTGCGAGTCATAGTGCTCCGTGTTAGGCAGCGAGGATAACATTGTTGCTTCGGAGCCTGTCCTGAATGCCGTCGGCGTCTGAATGCTTTCTCTGTCCAGCGATACATTGCTGTGCTGAAGAGACATACTAGCAACACTGGACGCTGCAGTGCAATCAATGCTGGGACACACAAACTCTGCATATGTGCTGTAGCCACTTGGCGGGGTTGTGTGGTTGTGGATGTGCCCAATCACTGGTGAGTCTTTCACACACTCTGCCGACTGAAACGCAGCCTGGGCAGACTTTGGAAGCACAGTAAGGTATTCTCCGCTCCGATTGTTGTTGTTGGCAGGGCGTGGTGGCAGCACTGTATGCAGTTGTTTCTCGCGATCCTGCATCGCTGAAAGGCAGAAGATAGGAACAAGAATAATACAAGTCAGTTGACACGTGAGTAAATACACAACCATGTACCCATACCAGTAAACAAAACAAAAAAACTTCTACTTCGAAGTATTTTTATTGCACACGTTTGATATCTCAGTGTAACATGTGTCTGTGGCGCAGACCTGGAATTTGCACTAGAATTTTATCACGATCCAAGTATTTGACGATTTCAAAACAGCGTGAACGTGCACAGACCCTAGAGTGAAGTGTGCTGGACTGGAAAATATAAGTAAACAGGAATGAAGAAAGTGTTCATTGGTTTGAGGGAAAGATGCAAACGGAAAAAGTCGGAAGAAATAAACTGACTGTCAACACCAGGACTGGAACCAAGGACCTTCACTTGAGGCCAACGATGCTCTAACCAATGAAGGTGTGAACAGTCGGTGCTGGGATGACGTTTACTCCATAGCTTAGTGGTAGAGCATCACTGGGTATAAGCAAGTGTCCCTGGTTCAAGTTCTGGTGGTCAATGCTATCTCCACGCTTTTTCCCATTTTCAGCTCCCTCGTCCTTATACACAGAACTTGCGTGAATTATACAAATTGTTCTTACCTTTCTTCTTGGCCGCTGTCCCGTCCACTGTCATCGATCCCCGCCTGTTGTAGCACAGTACAGCCGTGACAATGCAACACGCGAGAACACCCGCTCCTGCCGCTACATACGCTGGCCAGAGAGTAATAGAAACAACGGCCATAGGCGAGTCTGACTGCCTGGTACTGGCTGCTGTATGTAGAACGGTGCTGCTGCTGCTGCTGCTGGGTGGTGCACTGGATGCCAGTTCTGTTGAATCCTGACTTGTACTAAGTCTTAGAAATGTAGTAGTGGTAGAGGCGGTCGTCGTCATCGGGGGTGGAGGAAGTGTTACGATCCTGGTCTTGAACATATCGTCGCAGTTTAGATGAAGTCCAAACTCTTGCGCCTGTGTTAGGAGCTTGGCCGGCTGACTGACATTGACTAGTTAGATAACACACAGAATAGAATAGAGGCAGCAAGAGGGTAAGAGGCCTAGACCTTTGCAGCCTACACCTAAAAGCTGAATTTCACACACACACACACACACACACACACACACACACACACACACACACACACACATGTAGTCTCCAGTAAGCTGCTGAGTTCTAGCCATATGTATGGTGGACATGAAGGTATGCTCAAGCCACTAGAGACAAAGTTGAGATTTTCAATTTGTCGAACACAGCATTTCAGGTAGCCTCTCCTGCAATGTTCATTACCCGCAATAGGTGAAAGAGAACAATAAGCATGCAGCAATGTGCACGACTGGGCCTTTAAATCATCCCTACCTCTGATGGTCACATTTATGTAGGTGCTCAGGCCGCCAGCGATGAAGTCATAGCGACCACTGAAGTTGGCCACACTTGACAGCATCACCATACGCAATATGGAATCTCCATTTTGGGAGATGAAGCCAGTGTAACAGAAGTATGGTCTTCTCAGTGCGGCATTCTCTCCCTTGAAGAGCCAGTAGGGATCCCGGTCAGGTAAATGGTCACCCCTGGTGGACTTGGCATCCAGTGCAACAATCTGATTCTCCTTGATATTGATCATGCCCTGCTGCATGCCTGGAAGTGAATTTATGTAGCCCGTAGAGCGGTCAATGATATGTATGGTGATTTCCAGCTCTGCAGCAGAACAATTGGAGAAGAGAACCAAGTGGAGAGAACAGGAAAAATAATCTTGAATTGTGCCAGGTGCTTTTATCCTGTCGGTATAAATGAACTTTTGATGTATCATAATAAGTATACATGTACATGTATGTGTCTGCGCTAGGGTGTGTGTGTGTGTGTGTGTGTGTGTTTGTGTGTGTGTGTGTGTGTGTGTGTGTGTGTGTGTGTGTGTATGTGTATGTCTGAGTGCATCCATGTGCTGGTATGCGCATGTGTGGGCATATGTGTGTGTGTGCGCGCGCGCGTGTGTGTGCGTGTGTATGTGTGTCTAGATCCGAGACTGTAACGTCACATGCATGTGCATGTATTTGTATGTGTACTCACTGGGAACTCACCTATAACATTCAGATGCGCACGGCCTGTCACAGGTCCACCAGGGGAATCATACTGGCAGAAATACCATCCACTCTCTGCTTTCTTCACCGTCTGAATCACCAGCATCCCGTCTGAACTCACTGCCGTGCGATCATCCAGTATGACTGCTGCACTTGTGCTGTTGCCACGAAACCAGGAGACGGAATTGATGGGCATGCTGAATCCTAGCACGCCTGGACATTGCAGGGTCGCTGTTGATCCCAGGTCGGTGCGGAAGTAATCTGGTCCCCTTGGGTCGGCAGCTTGCACCACGACGCCTGTACAACAGCCAGTCATTATAGTTGTAACAATCAGCATAGTGGAGCAGACGAATAGACTACAGCTGAGCTCCATCACTAAACTATACAGTAACGACGTGAATGCCTACGGCACCATTTAATATATTGTTCACTGGCAACTGTGATCTACTGTGATCTACTGAGAGAGATAAACGAAGTTTGGTCTCTAATATGCCTCAGGTTTCTTGAGGAGCATCGGAGCAGCCACTTGCTGGATCCCACAAAGCCTGTCCTGAGGGCTACGCATGCAAATCATATCTCGTGGGCATGGTATTCGTTCGGTGCAGGCCACTCAAAAGCAGCCTCTTAGCCGGACATTTTGCCGAGCAGCTGGACAAGGGTATATTAGGTACACAAGGCGTGCATGTTGTTATTAGACGCCCAAAAGACAACATACGAACAGGCAGCACAGGACCGGTCCTTGTTTGGCCCGTGCTTCCTCCACGGCGAGAGCCAGCCTACGTACATTATTATGTACAACATGCTTTACATGCGTGGTTGTGTAAGATGGACTTGTTACACACAGCGAAGTACTGTCTCCTATAATAGATGCACGACATACATGTACTAGTGACATAGCAACAACTAACTGCCCACTGCCTAGGACTGGCCAGGCGGGATGATGGTAAACTGGTCGCGGACACACTGGGGAACACAATAGTACACATATACACTGCACATCACACACAGGGGCGTTCTGAGTACAGTATCGCGTGGTAACAGGAATCACTGGCTGAGTATCTCCATTACGACTGAAGAGAGGTGGTCAACTCGTGCAAGCTGTTGATCCCTGATCTCAGGATCCGAAGGAATTCCAGGGGCCAGTATTACCATAACCTAAAGACTGCACTCGACCCGAACACCAAGGACTTAGGTGCTTGAAAAAGAGCACTAAGACTAAGTAAGAGCAAAACACGAGAAGTGCTACATCCGAGTATGGGTACGTATTTAATGCGGAGTAAGTACCTGGGCCGCCGCGTGAGCTAGAGTACGGAACTGATCAAAAGAAGGAAAGAATCTACAAACAGTGTCATGCACATCATTATTGCGCTAACACAGAATGTGGCACCGCACACTTGCGTCGTTTGAAGCGGGTGCTAGCAGTAGACAAATGTGGCAGGGTCAAGCCGCCACCATGAAGCACACCGTAAGGCATTGTGCGAAAGGCACAAGTGTTTCCCTGTGTATATGTGCCTTGGCATGTCAATAGCGACACCATCAACACAATGCTGCCCCGCTCATCTAGATCCTTACTTCTGGTTGCGGTGGTTCGCGACTGCCCCAACCGGATGAGACACATGGTTAGGCATATGAAGATAAAGCAACGGTTCATCATTGAAGTGATGGATGCCATAACATGTGCTCGTATCTCTCACAAACCAGAGCAATGTCCACCAAGATGAGGAAGCAGAAAAGTGAACATGCTTAGAGCGGGTACAGCAATGATATAGCCGGGCTGAGCTACGCGCAGGAAACACCTCGACGCAAGACCTCCGAGTCCCACTGGACATGTACACTAGACCTCGGAGCACCACTGGTCACAATTACAAGACCTCGGAGTACCGATGGCCACAAAACCTCGGAGTACCGCTGGCCACAAAATCTCGGAGTATCACTGGCCACAAGATCTCGGGAGTATCACTGGCCACAAGACGCCGGAAAACAGGCCAGGTGAAATCAAATTCAAACGTAGCCATGTCAGAATTGCCAGTCAGCTTCAGGTCTATCCTGAAGCAGAAAATAGGCACTAAAGTCTGCCACAAGTCGCCACCGGTCGCTTGCGCAAAGCCTGGAGGAGGTGTCCTACCACAACTGTTGCTTGCAGGTTAAAAACTCCACCATCACGAGGGAGAAAGCAATCCCGGCGAAGGGGACACTTAACAAATACATGCAGTCGACGTGCATTCAAAGTACATGTTTCTGTGCAGTGCAACTTTGATTGTGCCCCAGGCCAGCAGGCAGTCGAGCAACACTAGTGTGCAAGGTATGGACCATAGCTCAAGATAGCACCATGGAGGACTGAGCGTGCAATTAGTTCCCCAGCCAGTGTCCAATCTGGTATAATAAGAATAGAACAAAAAACTAATAGAATTTTCCCATGACCAGAAATACACCACTGGATATTGATGCACAAGCGTATGTAGTGTGCAGCGTGGCGTCAGTAGATGACTAGATGACTATTGTGTGTGCCGGTGTGTGTGTGTGTGTGTGTGTGTGTGTGTGTGTGTGTGTGTGTGTGTGTGTGTGTGTGTGTCCCATATGGTGCAGTGGTATGTGCAGCGATTTCCAATCGATAGGTTGCGGGTTCGATTCCCGACAATTATGGTCACACACGTCTTTCTTCTCTTTCTCAGACTCTTCCTGACTTTTCTTTCATTCTCCTGGGTGGTTACCAACAGCCAGTGCATGCCGGAGTATGTGGTGTGATGTGTGTGCAGGGAAAAAAGACCAAAAAGTAGGGATTCACTGGCCAGAAAAGCCACTTCATAGCTGTGTGGTGTAGACCAGGCTGAATAGTGGCGGTCAATTCTTCAGCCTTGCAAGCTGTTGAATGGTGCAATCCCAGCACAAGTTGCTATGGCTTCTGCTGTAGCATCGCTATCATCGCCTCCGGCGATGGGCGTCCGATGGTCCGATGGTGTGTGTGTGTATGGGTGTTCAAGACTGAATTAATACCCGCGTAGCCTACAGTCATCTGCGAGGCAATACTGAAGTATTGGCGCAGCAGAGGACTAAGGAGTTGTGCCGCAATCACGGAAATATTGTCCTGCCACAATGTTGCTGTGTCTACCTACGTCTGAGGCATTTGAGCTTCTACTGAATATTCGCTGAAAATAGAATGTATGTTTAGATGAGAGAGTGTTGGAAGGGTGAAACAGTTCTTGTCCGAAACACTCGGAGCAAATAATTAATTGGGACGGGAGCCATCTCTGGATTGCATTTGAACATGTGTAATTGAATGACGAGTGCACTACATTGTAGAACATAGTGCTAGTCCCATCTCTACCCCTGCTACTGATGTACTGACTGCTGGCATACCGCGGTAGAACAAACTAGAACCAGACAACATTGACCCATCACGACGAGTCACAGCACATCTGCGCTATCTGCCCCATCGCAAGCTAGACGACTGACTCCGACTGACACCTGTACCCAGCATCTCCTCCTACCGCGACGTCAATGCGCCGCCCTACGCGAATATTACCCAATGTCCAAACAGCCTGCCATTACATGTATTCTCATGCAACATTGCATCATTCCGTCGCCCTTCGATTAGTCTGTAGGTCCTGGTCGGAGCTCGTAAAACATGACAAAAAGCTGTTGGCACCTTGACCTCCCCGAGGCCGGCAAGCAGGCTAGGCGAATAGCGCATATTGTGGCACTGCTGCCAAGCACCCTCTGCGTATAAACACCATCCCGTCGATAAGGCTGCGGGGGACTAGGTTTGCTTCACAACAGCTGAGCACTGACAACGGGCACGTAAACACCAGTAGGATGCTGCATCATCCTTAGCACTAGCACGCCGAAGGTGATCTTCTACAGAATTCTTGTGCTTATTCTTCTTTTCCCGTCAACATGGTTTAGTAGTTATGGGAACCCAACGAGAAGAAAGCCCCTTTATGAGCTGCTCCTTCGTGTCTACAATTTAATAACATATTCGCTGCCTTGTCATTGAGCATTTGTGCTCGTTTGGATTTGCGAATTCAAATAAAGTATACATACATACATACATACATACAACGTGCACGATGGAGTGGCACGGTACGGATATCATATCATCCTGTTCACCTAAGACCCATCTGTCACCGGTTATGGTGCAGTGAGCATGCTGATATGTACATGTGCCCTTTGCCATTGCAGAACGTAGCTCCACTGGGATCCGGGCTCAGCAGTATGATCGCAGGAATAACCGTAGGTAGTCCGTTTAGTCCGGGAGCTGAAATCTGTAGGATGCTTTTTATTTTCGGGGTATGCCACTTCAGAGGGAGGACTTGAAACTTCGCACAGAGGTAGGTAAGGGTCTCTAGAGGACGATTTGAGAACTTGGCCGTCCCGAAGCTGTGCACCAATGCCGGTGCAAGGAGGTTTGTTCGCTCGTCGAACACTATTTCGTTGCCGTGATTTCACAGTTTTTGCGCCATTCAGCGCTTGAAAAATGGGGAAAATCAGCGGGTTTCGCTGACGTAACCAGACATTTTCATGCGAATGACTCAATTTTGCTAGATTTTCAAGAGAAACACAAAGAAACACGAAGCGAAACGCAAAGTCACACCGTTGATGAAGCATTTTTCATTCTGTTTGTATAATTGTGTCGTTCTGAGTTCTGAAGTAACATACAGTAGCTGGTTCGTCGGAGGAGGACATGACTGGTGTTCCTGAGATTGTCGTGCGTAACGGCTAAATGACTTGCCACTTGACCCTGATGTCGACAGGCAGGTCTCGTAGGAACTGTCCGTCTCCATCGAGGTGACTCTGGATTGTTTTTACCAATAGTGTTTTGTAGATTGATCCTCACTACAAACAAGAGTACTCCTGCTACAAACGATTTCATGCTAGTCAATGAGCGGACTGACAACGTGTGTTAAAGGTGGTAAGGTACACACCATGGCAGCTGCCTTGAACGGAATCTTTGATTATACCAGTGAACGTAGAAATGCATGACTTATCTTGAATAACGTCTCTTTGAATCATTGTTTTGTTGAAGTTTCGGATGCTGCACAATGACATGCGCGTACGTGGAAGCATTCGCATTGTAGAAGATCATGGGATGATTATTTCCCTACTTCATTCAGTCCTTTGTGTGGTAAATTGAGTAGTACCGTACTGGCAATATATATGGTCGCAGTGAGGCCATGAAGCGTTACATTGGCACATGTTTACCGCACGCAGGGCGTTACATGCAAAGTCGCACAGGAGCCGTTACACAGGTTTCTATATTGCCGCAGTCCTTTTTTTGCTATTGCCGCATCACTTTTTTGCTATTGCCGCATCATTTTTTGCAAACTGCATGCAATGAAAAGATCGCCGCACCCCGCCGGACGCGCGTTACGAACGCAACGAAAATTTGTCGCACTAGCCTGGTCGCGCGTTACGCCGCACCCCCCCCCCCCCTGCGTTACGCGGCAACATATATTGCCAGTACGGTAGTAGACGTAGTATATTTTAGGAATTTCCGCAAACGCAATCAGTAAATGTGGCGGTAACATGTAGAATATAATCATTTTAAAACTACAGCTACGGTGCATCATATTTATGTGAACAGAGGCTGAATGTAGATATGTAAACAGTGTCATGGACGAGATATGCATCGGCACCACCGCATACATCCAGGCAAGACGATGTAGCGCAATATCTGTGTTGAACGGTTTTTGATCCCTTCATCATGGAGAACAGTATCCATTCTTCATCCGGTTTGCGATCCTCTGCTCTGTGCTGCCAACGACGTCCACTTGTTGCTCACATGTGTAGTGCTGCTGAGCGGGTTGCCACATTCGGACATGCATCGGCGAGTACCGTAAAAGCCCGTAATAAGGCCCTGGGCGGAAGCGTTAGTGACGGTCCAGAACATGGGCGCTAATGATTGGGTTGTCACATTCGGACATGCACCAGCAAGTATAGTACAGGGTTGGGGTGACCCGTTGCACTAGAAGCATCCAGTGCTGTAACCTTTGCGATGTTTGCAGCTATGCCGAGCAGTTATCTCCTGGGTTCCGACTGCTGCTCCGTGGAGATAATAGTAGGGCACTAGACAGCGGCTTTGTAAATTGCCATTCTGGAATGCTACCTCAGAGCAGCCGATGATGGTGACGTTCTTGCACAGCATGTTGTTGGTACCACAATCACAGCAAGTTCACTGGTGATGATTAACTTCTGGCCGCGTGTTGCATGTTTCTGAGATTCGTAGATAATGACGCGCGCGTGCATGAGTGTGTGTGTTTATATGTATGTGTGCGTGTGAGCATCTGCATGTGCGCATCCACGTGTGTGTGTGCGCGCGCGCGTGTGTCGTGCACATGTACACGTGTATGCGCGTGTGTGTGTGAGCATTTGCATGTGCGCATCCACCTGTGTGTGTGCGCGCGCGCGTGTGTGTCGTGCACATGTACATGTGTATGCGTGTGTGTGTGAACATTTGCATGTGCGCATCCACCTGTGTGTATGTGCGTGCAAGCGCGCACGCGTGTGCGTGCACATGTACACGTGTATGCGTGTGTGTGAGCATTGGCATGTGCGCATCCACCTGTGTGTATGTGCGCGCGTGTGTGATGAATGCGCGCATGTTCGCACACATGTATGTGTGTGTGTGTGTGCGAACAGAGAGTCACATGTGTGTGTGTGTGCGTGTGTGTGCACTCATGCACACTCGCACACATGTGAGCACACGCTTGCAAGCGTGTGTGGGCGTGCGCGCGTGTACACAACCTCGCACACATGCACGTGCGCGCATGTATGTTCTATCTTGTTATGTTGCCTATCCCATGCTCTCCTTTGGTGCTGCCACGTAGACGTCTGTCGTAGTTCCTGTCAGAAGTGCATGTGGAACTGGCAGTGATTGTCATTCTACCTTTGTTTCAAACAACCTCTCGTTTTCGAGTTACATGATCTCTCACAGGATCCACAAAGTATTTTGTGCAAAAGCAGCTAGGCTCACCTGAACCAGTGAAGAACGAGTACCGGAACAAACAAGCTGGCAAACTGAAACGGGTTGACACCACCAGCAGATAAATAGGCCAGGCAGAGTACCGGCATGGGTGATGATGATCTTACACGTCCGGTGACTGGTCACTGGTGCATACGGCTGTGGCACTGGCAGTCAGGACTCAGGGACGCGGAGGCCGACTTGTCAGCAAGCAACATCTCGCCTACTCTGCCGGAATCTTCGCTCGACTCGACCTCAGTCAGACCTGGAAATATACTTTTGAAACTTTGCTTGCACGCGTTGAAGAATTGCCGGAGTAGGCACGAGTATTATTGTGCACTATTGCTGGTACACACTCTATGTTGCGCTTTTGTCCAGAAGCG